CAATAAACAAAAAGTTTTGCTGTTGTTACACTATATACACAGGTTATATATAAGTATCTGCATGTTTTGTACACCATAACGAACTACTAAGTTGGTCTTGTGAGTCAAAAAGCAACGAGGAGTGACCGCCAAACACCAGCGAGCCACTCACTGCCACTCCCTCCCTCAACACCACCTCACTCACCCTCATTCACCCCCACAATACTCTTTCTGTATTTATTCACTATACACAGACGTTATATATACGTATTTACATGTTTTGTTCACCATAACTGTACATCTAAGCTTGTATGTTGAGTAAAGGCACAAAGATGAAGCTACTCACACAGCTGATCGGCGGCCGCCCTTAAGGCCAGACACACTAATATTTGTCCTCCAACAATATTGTTTGTGGTGTTATTACGCTATATACACACATTATATATAAGTATCTACCTGTTTTATTCACCATACCTGAACAAATAAGCTAGTATGGTGCCGAAAGATCATAGTGGCCATCAGTAAACATGCCAAGTCGTGCAGACGACGCTCCTCCCTCACCAAAATGGCGGCTCCCAACCTACTCCTCTCGCTGTTATCTCACACTATACACACGTTATATATAAGTATCTACATTTGTGTTCACCATGGCGAACCACTAAGCTGGTATGGTGAGTGCAGTCAATAAATGGTGGCCACACACAGTCAGAAAACGACGCCACAACCCTCCCTCCCACAGCCTTACTCCTCCCTCCATGGAGCACAGCGATAAATATCACCACAATCCTGCTATTATCAGAATCATGGTCAGTTTTATCACAGTCAGGGGGCTTCAGTAATACTATCACTGCTAAATAATAGCAGTATCATTTATATTATGGTATTTGTAGGCGATGCTGTGGTCACAAGCTGAACAGCGGTGCTGTGAGCTCATACTGCGTGCACCAGCCTTGGTGGCTTGCTCAATACTGACGCTGTAACACCCAAGAATGTTGGCCTGGATTTTTTTTCTAGGTGGCATCTGGCAACTATCGGTCGTGGCTGTACTATAGCTGCCCCTCTCCCAGGCGGGGCGTTTAAATTATAGCGCTAGACACGAAATCATATATAAATGATGTGCGCGGTTTCGGTTTTGTCACTGATATCATTTATATATGATATGCGCAGTTTGAGGGTTAAATGAAGATAGCCTCAAGTTTCATATGGTTTGGGTGAAGGCAGCCTTACATTTATCATGCATTTCGTGAAGATAGTCTCGTGCTGCTTCTATTTCTGGTGAATACTATCTTATGCTTGAGCTAAAGAAAACCTTCACACTTTGCAGGGGTTGAGCTTTGGTACTTTGGCCCCACCTCTCAACTGTAAATCAACTGGTGTATAGGTTCCTAAACCTATTGGACTCTATCATATCTACATTTTAAACTGTGTATGGAGTCTGCCTCCACCACCTAACTTCTTAATGCATTCCATTTGTTAACTTCTGACATTTAAATTTTTTTCTAACATCTCTATGGTTCATTTGGGTTGGGTACTGTGTTTCCACTTGTCCCCCTTCTTTTTGTACTACATGTGCTAAATAGTTTGTCTCTATCGACCCTGTTAACCCTTAAACTGCGCATGGCGTATATATACGCCCTGAGTAACATGTACCAAGGTGCGCATGGCGTATATTTATTTATTTATTTATTTATGCATATACAAGAAGGTACATTGGGAATGTGAGGATACATAATATGGTAATTAGTCTTGTAAAGCCACTAGTACGCGCAGCATTTCGGGCAGGTCCTTAATCTAAGAAAATTTTAAGTAGGTAAATACTTGCAAAATTTGTAGACAAAAAAAATGATAACAGTTACATGGAATGAAAAAAAGAAGATGAGAGGAAATTGTAGGTACAGTATATATACGCCATAGGGTGCCAGGCCCGATACAAATGGCCCGCGGCTACACGGGGTTCACAGTAGCTTCCTCAAGGCTCTTGTAAACAGATGCCATTTAAAAAAAAAATCGTGGGCAATATTCTCAGGTGTGAGAGGCACAGTACTGTTGGAGCAACCAAGGCTGGCGCACGCAGCATGAGCGAACAGCATTGCTGTTCAGCTTGTGACCAAAGCATTGCCAAAAAATGTCAAAATAAATATATAATTGTTATTATTTAGCGATGACAATATTACAGATAACCCATGATTGTGATATAAATAACCAGGGTTGTGATAATAGCAGGATTGTTGTAATAATTAGCGCTGTGGGAGGAGTGATGCTGAGAGATGGAGGGAGACAGCATCGTTTACTGACTGTGTGGCCACCTGTTATTGTTTGCATTCACCATACCAGGTCAGTGGTTCTCTATGGTGAACACAAATGGGGGTAGATACTTATATATAATGTGTGTATTAGTGTAATAACAGCAAAAGGATTATGCTGGGAGGAGCCATTTGGGTGACGGAGGTGACATCGTCTGCATGATTTGTCTAGCTGTTTAGAGGGTGGCCACTATGCTCTTTGGGCACACTACAAGCTTAGGTGTACAGTTACGGTGCATAAAACATGTAGATACTTATATATAATATGTGTATATAGGGTAATAACACTGCAAACAGTATTGTTGGGGGAGAAAGTTTAGTGCATTTGACCTTGAATGAATGAGGGAGCCGCCATCTGTGTATAGCGATGACTCTTAGTACCTGAACTAACTATATCAGCTTAGCTGTACAGTTGTGAACAAAATATATACATACTTATATATAACGTCTGTATATAGTGTAATAACACCACAAATGGTATTGTTGGGGAAGAAAGTTTAGTGCGTGTGTTGAGGGAGTTGCAGCGAGTGGCTGGCTGGTGTGTGGCGGTTACTCTTCGTTGCTTTTCGACTCTCAATACCAACTTAGTGGTTCGTTATGGTGACCAAAACATGCAGATACTTATATATAACCTGTGTATAGAGTGTAATAGCAGCAAAACTATTTGTTTGTTTTATAAACATAATAATTGAATCACTAATATGCACATCAGACTTTTGAGTATAGCAATTATTCACCACTTTTATTATATAAATATATTATAATACACACTATTGAATAATATTACTGCAAAAAAACTAAGACAAAATTAATCAGAGACATTGAAACAATTAGGTAATAATATCTTTGTGGCAACTCCCACCTGTCAGCGCGGGTGACGCTGACCGGGTCTAACGACCACTCTGTCAACGCCCACTTTTTGCCAGACTTCCTCAGTCAATTGCGCCCAAAATATGTCACCTACGATTTTTTTCTTATTTTTTCCATGCTCAGGGGACACAAATTAACATTTTAGAAGATGAAAAAAAAATTTTGAATTTTTTTTTTCTTGCGCACAGGGGTGTAAATGTCCCCAGGACCCCTGAGCAGTGTAAGGGTTAATTTCTGAGAATTTTGTAGGTGGTAATCATATCTCTAACACCACTGTCTTCTAGTGTCATTCCAGTCATCTTTTGCATTGCGGTTCTTTTGTAGTTTATGTGCTCTGAAGCCACATTTGAATAACTTGCTGACTTTCAAGCAAAGAATACTCTAACGTCTAAAGGATGAAATATTATAACTGAACTATGATTATTCATGAAGCAGGGTGACAAAACCAGTTATTATTGGATAACTTTAGCGCACAACAAGTATCAGTGTTAATATGTTTCATTTGTTAATGTTCAATAGCTTGACAGGACTCTAAATAAAGTATGTAGAAGAGTTTCCTCTCCGATATTTTTAAATTCTGGTATGGTTGCACATTGTTCATTATGAGAGTTGCATTATTGGTAGTGGTGGTGTTAGTTTTGGTCTTGGTGAACCCTGAATAATGATATTTCATCCCATTACCCTCCTGCTGAAATGACAAAACTTCTTGATGTCTTCACTGTTGAGTGTATGTATCTATTTTCTAAAAGAATATAGCATTTACAATGCAAGCATAATCTTTCATCTTCTTGAGCAGCCTACATTCAATTCTGTCTCTCTTGTGGCTGTTGAGTAAGTTCAATTTTGTGAGGATGCTAGCATGTAGTTTTTCCTGTTCATATACGAGCTTATGGCTAAAGGCATAAATAAAACTAAAAAAAAGTTGCAGTAGATTTGTATACTATGTAGTCTTGCATGAGGTGGTGTTAGAGAAAGTATACCAAAATTTTTTGTTAGATATGGCATGTTTGATGTACTGTATATTCATAGTGTGCAATGCATGTAAATTGCATATTGGCTAACGATGTCTCTCTAAACTCTTACCAAATATATTTTGAGAATTTAATTATAGATTTTATATGTATTTAAAGTGATTTCTATATATTTTTTGCTACATATTTAAATTTTTAAAGTTTTAAAGTTTAACAAAGTAATTTTGTTGTACTGTACTTTCAGTCTTCAGAGGTAATATTAATTTGTGTTTGTTTAATGGCATACAAGAAAGTTCTGTAAAAAATAATTCATAGGCAGTGCCTCTAACTCTCCTTTTCCCTCTGGAAATTCTTCAATGACAGTGAAATTGGTAATATCCTGATATGCATACAATTATATAGTACTTGTGTTTAGTGAACAGTATCCATCACCATAAAAAATGGTTATGCTGTCTGATCTTGGAGATTAATTTCTGATATAAGTAGTTCATGTTTCATCTTGTCTAGAAACTCACTATGATGAAAGTTTCATGACATTATAATATTGAAATTGTTGTGACCAGATAATATGAAACAATATCAGTATTACTTCTGCACTAGTCTCGTCAACCACACACTGCAACATTACCTAATCCTTTAGGCAACATGTAGCACTCCTACAAAAGTCTTCACATGTCTGGACAAAAGTATGTGTGTGTATTGAAGTGTTGTATATGATGTGAGCAGTTAGACTCGTGTATGTAGAATTAGGCTTCAGTGCAGAACTTGAATCTCACCTGTCATCGCTGTAGCTACATCCACTCTCCTTCCCTCCCTCCCCCTCACTCCCTCCTTCTCTCTCTTGCAGGGCTGCTGAAGTCTGGGTGTCTCATTGCAGGTTTCTTCGGCGCCTACAGCTGTCCCGGGGTGCTAAGGATCATCTAGTTTCACCAGCAGGAAGTTCAGATTCTGACCCCGAGTGTGGTCCTCCGGCAGGGCCCTCGTGCGTAGGGCCTTCAAACAAGATCACCAGCAACAAAGGAGGTAGAAGCCCTAGCAGCCAGGTCAAGTACACACCTGTAAGTACTGGCTGCATTGCACAATCATCACCATGAGCTGGAAGACTTATGGACCATCATCACTGTGAGCTGGAGGAGTCCTGGACCATCCACTGTAACCAAAAAGTGGAACTTCATGTCACTTTTAACAGAGAATTTAATCTCTTTAGTGACTTCACCAAGTGATAATATCCCACCAAGTGACCTTCTACATTGATAGCAGTTTTGCAGTTTTGGCCAGTGAATCATAATTTTTTGTCACGAAATGCATTTTGTAGATGTATATTGTACCTGTCTGAAGACTAATGTATTTAATAATCTCTATTAAAAGTGATATTACATTAGTCCCATTATTAACATATATTTGTGGCAAAGCCTGTCAGATGTCTTTGTATCTTGCTCTTTTTTAATACAAGGAAGTAATACACTATTAGCAAATAAAATTGTGTGACCATATTACAATACTGATATTACTTTTATTAATGAATATGCTATTGTTTGCAGCAATTACTCCACAACTACCAGAATAGTACTCCCGAATTTGTCATTAAAAATTCAGCATTTTTTATTGAAAATATATACTGTATTGTGATTGTGTGTGTGTGTGTATGTAACAAAGAAATTAGGACAATGAGTAGTGTAATAATGGCAGCCATGGAAGAAAATATAACAGGGAAATATTTGAGCACTTTCACATTTATTTCAACACATCCTCAGAAGTAATCAGTGTTTTTGAAGCCGTTTTAGAATACATGAAGAATTAATTTCGTTTCATTTTGCTTCATGGTTATACATCATCACATTCGTCATCATGAGAATAATGTACATAACAGCCAGAAGAGTGCTACTTGATATGATAAACAAGGCCTGTTTTCTGGGGAAAGCCCCGTCGGCTCCCCGGAGCTATCCAGGCTGATGTGTAACTATTAGCTTTCTGGCATCAGTCAAAGTGCACGGAGTTTTTGCCTACCATGGACCATGAGCCAGAACCTGGCCCCCTTAGAGAGGTGCGAAGAGCAATGGCCTTTAGAAACCCCCGTGTGGTTGGAAGCATTCTATTTCTGCCATCGACCGGGTTTGGCACCCAGAAAGGTAGGCGCCCCAAAACAAACCCTTATTCTGGTAAAAATATTGTTACCGAAAGCAGAACGAGTAGACAAAACTCTCCAAGTGAAAGCTAGCAAATTAGCATGATGTCACGCCGCCATTTGTGTAACCCCTCACTCCTTCCCCAGAGGGGAAAGGGGGAGCCCCAGACCCCCTTGCCAGCAATCCAACCGGCAGTTCTTGGCTGATATAATACTAGCAGGTCGGGGGTGGGTTTATGCCTTGAAAGCAGATTTATGTCTAAAGTCGAAGGCAACGGGAATTGAATGTTATATATGTAAGAATAGATTTCATTCGGCTTGTACAGGAGTGAGTAACACCACGGGACTGAGAGCTGGCCATTTGCTCTGGGCTAGAGCAAACGACCTGCCAGCTTGGAATATCCTAAAAAACCTTTTAGATAAGATGACGCATGACCAGAAAACATTGTTCATTCAATGCCTACCAGCCATCCAAAAAGAGTGGTAAAGGAACAACAATAATTCTAATAGACCAGGGGTGGAGGCTATAGTCGGGGAGAAAACTGAAGCAGAAACTCAGGAAGTTGCAGGAACAAATACTACTCTCATTCAGTATGCCCAGATGCAGATGGCAGTAAACTAGAAAGTGTAACAGACAGCACTGACAGCTCGATAGGTCCAGACACTACAACGGTCCCCAATAGTGCGAGTCGGACCAGAAGGACAGACTTGTGCAAATTTTATGCAAAGGGCATACGCAGACATAGATATGCTGGTAATAAGAAATGATTAGAATGCAGTTACCACCATACCTTACCTTGAGGTTACCTTGAGGTGCTTCCGCGGCTTAGCGTCCCCGCGGCCCGGTCGTCGACCAGGCCTCCTGGTTGCTGGACTGATCAACCAGGCTGTTGGACGCGGCTGCTCGCAGCCTGACGTATGACTCACAGCCTGGTTGATCAGGTATCCTTTGGAGGTGCTTATCCAGTTCTCTCTTGAACACTGTGAGGGGATTGCCAGTTATGCCCCTTATGTGTAGCGGAAGCGTGTTGAACAGTCTCGGGCCTCTGATGTTGATAGAGTTCTCTCTCAGAGTACCTGTTACACCTCCGCTTTTCAACGGGGGTATTCTGCACATCCTGCCATGTCTTCTGGTCTCGTGTGATGTTATTTCTGTGTGCAGGTTTGGGACCAGCCCCTCTAATATTTTCCACGTGTAAATTAATTTGTATCTCTCCCGCCTGCGCTCAAGGGAGTACAGATTTAGGCTCTTTAGTCGGTCCCAATAGTTTAGATGTTTTACTGAGTGGATTATAGAAGTAAAGGATCTCTGCATGCTCTCCAGGTCAGCAATTTCTCCAGCTTTGAAAGGGGCTGTCATTGTGCAGCAGTACTCCACTCTAGAGAGCACAAGCGTTTTGAAAAGTATCCCAAAAATTCTTTAAATATGCTTAGGTAAGGACAGTGCCGATTTGGATCAGCATGTAGGTTTTCCACCCTGACATGTGCCAAATCTCACTCGAGGACAGAAAATGTTATGACCTCAGCTGTCCATACTTTCACATGAAAGACATGGAATACTACATAAAGAGTGGCAAGCATGATAATGGATTTGGAGGAAACTCAATAAATTTTTTATACCAAACCAAAAAAGATTTCAAAAGGAGCATAGAGAATGTATGGAACTGAATGCCAGACCCACTTTCATACCAGAATTACAGATACAATTGCACAACAAAAAGGAACTACAACAGGCAACTGCCCTACAACAATCAGCACTGATCAGAACAAACTCAATATGTCCATGCAAAATGGGCTTGCCGAAAAAGTCTCCCAGTCAAACTATCCCTAACAGAGTAACCTCATTCATCTTTGCCAACATACAAGGACTAAAACCAAGAACAAACAACAAAATACAATTCATATATGGCCTCCTCACGGAGTCAAATACAGTATTTGGAGCTTTCACAGAAAACCATGCTGGGGAATTCTTGGACAGTGAGATCTGGATCCCAGGATATAACCTATACAGGTGTGATAGGGTAATTAGGTCACATGGAGGAGTGGGTCTGTATATTAGGGAAGACATTGTATGCTTGGAGCTCCTTAACATTACAAATGAGATGGTAGAGGTACTGGGAGTAAAAAAAATAGATAATAAACTTAGTTATTATTATAATATACAAACCACCAGATGCAATGGCCGAGGAATTCACAGAACAAATAAATAAAAGAGAGAATAGCCTTGATAATTTGGAGAACCCAATACCTGATATTATCTTCTTAGGTGACTTCAATTTGCTTAGTTTAAGATGGAGAATAGCAAAGAATAATAATATACCAGGAAATCTATCAGGACCTAACCAACCACAGATTAGAGAACTACAGTAGAACCTCGAGTGACGACCGCCTCAATTGGTGAGCATTTTGAGTAATGAGCGCCCAGATCGCTGACAATTCGTCTCGTATGGCGAGCGCTCGTTTGAATAACGTCAACACCATTTGAATAATGACAACACCCACTGTATATAGTGGGGTCGCGCTGCTTCTGGCACATTCTCGGACGCCTCCGATGATGCAAATAAATTATATATTTTTTTAACCCTTTAAGTGTGCAACACATCATATGATGTGTTCAGTGACTTGCAGTAACTTGCGCTCCACATCATATGATGTATTGGAGTACTACGCAAAATTTAAACGGCCCGTGGATACACGTTTTTTTTTTTTTTTTTTTTTTGAGATATATACAAGAGTTGTTACATTTTTTTTTTTTTTTTTTTTTTTTTTTTTTTTTTTTTTTTTTTTTTTTTGAGATATATACAAGAGTTGTTACATTCTTGTACAGCCACTAGTACGCGTAGCGTTTCGGGCAGGTCCCTGGAATACGATCCCCTGCCGCGAAGAATCGTTTTTTCATCCAAGTACACATTTTACTGTTGCGTTAAACAGAGGCTACAGTTAAGGAATTGCGCCCAGTAAATCCTCCCCGGCCAGGATACGAACCCATGACATAGCGCTCGCGGAACGCCAGGCGAGTGTCTGGCGTTCACCACACCTTCATCAGGGCTCTTGTAAACAGACGCCATTTAAAAAAAAAATCATGGGCCAAATTCCCGGGTGTGAGGGGCCTCAGTATTGAGTGAGCTACCAAGCCTGACACACGCAGCATGAGCTCACAGCACTGCTGTTCAGCTTGTGACCACAGCATCGCCTAAAAATGCCATAATATACATGTTCATGCTATTATTTAGCGATGATATTATTACAGAAGACCCCTGACTGATAAAAATTACCAGGATTCTGATAATAGCAGGATTGTTGTGATAATTAGCACTGTAGTGGGTAGTGGGAGGAATAATCTTGGTGGGGAGGGAGGTAGCATTGTCTGCTGACACTGAGTGACCACCTTTTACTGTCTGGACTCACTATAGCAGCATCATTGTTCACTATGGTAAACAAAACATGCAGATACTTATATATAACTTCTGTATATAAAAGCAAAAACAGTATGGTGGGAGGAGATTGGTGGCGAGTCAGGTGAGGTGAGGGAGGGAGGGAGTGGCAGCCAGTGGCGGGCTGCCACTGCCACTCAGCATACCAACTTAGTGGTGCGTTATTGTGAACATGAATGCAGATACTTATATATAACGTGTATATACAGTGTAATAACGGCAAAAGGAGAGTGGGGAAGAAGCCCTTTTGGTGATGAGTGTGGCAACATCTGCATGATTTGTCATGTTGGTAGGGGTGGCCACTATGCTCTTTGGGCATTATACCGGCTTAGTTGAACAGTTATTTAGTTGAGCAAACTACCATCAACACTCAGAATAGACCTAAAATGTTGATCAAGCAAGAGGGGTTATTCAGTAAATTAAATTTTAATAATAAAAGAATAGACTGGGAGAAAATAAACAGGGACCTTACAAACATTCCATGGGAAACTGTTTTAAGTAATACAAGTCCTAAAGAAGGAATTGAAAAGCTGACTTCAGAAGCGTATCAAGTCTGTCTGAAACGTGTTCCTGCTCTGGTATCTCCAACGCTGGGCTCCCCCGAGAAAACCAGCATTGAATGTAATGAAACACCCTTTTCTGGTCGAGACCCGGAGGCTCCCCGGCATCCCTCCCTCTCTCCGGTCGGCGGTGTTTTCACATGTTTTTGACATCCAGCCCAAGAACTGCCGGTTGGATAGCCAGTGCAGAGGTCTAGGGCTCCCCTTTCTCCCTCCTGGGGAGGGGGGGGGGGTTGTGCAGATTGCGACACGATGATGT